TTTTGACCCCCTGTGCATAATCTGTATATACAAGCCTGCCCAAAAAACAGCTACACTGCACTGAGCTTCTAGGGAGACTCTTAGACGAATTCACTAGTGCAAACACATCTCAAAGAGCCCTGGAGCCTGATAGTCACACTCTGCTTCAGCAAAATTATAAATTATATACATATATAATTTATGTATGTAATACATAATATATAATATAAATTATGAAGTCATTTTCCTTTGTGACCACTTGGGAAATTTGAAATCAAGTATGTTAAATCTGAAAAAATAGTCAACAGAAAGTGGAAAGCACATTAATAACACAAAATTACCATAAAAATATCAGTTGTTGCTATTTTAACTGACAATTAGAACTGAAGGGACTGTAATGAAATCAGGCATCCTTGTGGACAGTATTATTATCCAGACATGGGCTCCTGAGTCAGAATTACTGGACCCAAAGCCCATTGCTGTCTATCACCTTAGATAAACCAACCTCATTATTCCCAGTTTCCTCATCTGTAAAGTGAAGACAGTGATAGTACCAGCTTTCCAGGATTATTGTGAAGATGATTTAACCGAATAGGTATAGAGTCCTGAGCAGTCCTTAGTTCAACTATGAAGTATTATTCCTCCATTTAAAATCAGTGGCTGTCTCTTTATAGTTAGAATGTTTCCTACACAAAAGCTCATGTTTTGTTTTGGAACAGAGCCATCCCTTTGTTATGGGCTACATGGATGAAAGGAAAGAGCCTTTTTATAAGGTACTTTTCTCCGGAGAAGTCTCAGGAAGAATTACTTTGTGGCACATCCCTGATGTTCCTGTATCCAAGTTTGATGGTTCTCCTAGAGGTAAGACAGTTTCCGTTTCTAATCACGTGTCTTCTGAGAACTAATTTGTAATTAACTCAGTGTTTTCCTAATTGAGTAATGTGGGGCTACATACAAGAAAAATTTTCTCATGTATTAGATGCCAACATAAAAACAGGTATAAAAATAAAGTTTATATATCATATGCAACAATCCAGCTAACATAATTCAAATTAATGTTAATTGAAAACATGAGTGCTGACAATATGAATGTAAAATAGGTTGTTACACCAAATTCATATTTTTGAAGGAAAGGTGTCTTGATTATATTTCTCATATCTATGATGAACTGATAAACCAAATCTTTCTTTGTGTGTTTTCCTTTTAGAGATACCAATCACTACCACCTGGACTCTTCAAGATAATTTTGATAAGCATCATACTGTGTCACAAAGTATTATTGACCATATCTCTGTGTTTAAAGATGGGGCAGAAACTGCTGTAGTCACTTCATCAGAGTATGTTCCAAGTCTTGATAAGCTAATATGTGGCTGTGAAGATGGGACAATTTTCATTACTCAGGCTTTGAATGCTGCCAAAGCAGGACTTCTAGAAGGCGGTTCTTTATTAAAAGGTCATTGAATTTTATTTGACCCTATTTATTTAATTTATCTAACCTTCAATTTCAACAAGCTGCACTAAAGAAGATTTAGAGGTCTAAAGAATTTGCTAGCATTTGCTGATAAATTTTTACAAATTTTAATGTTAAATTGAAACGTACATAGACGTTTTTTTGAAAAACTCAAGCACAAGGATATACAATGAGAAATAAGTTTCTCTCCTTAGATCTTCCAGGTCCTTTCACCAAAGACAACTGCTAATATCAATTTCTTTATACCCTTCTTGAAATTTTGTGTGTATACAAAAGCACTTACCAGCATAGCAGTATACATTATTTTAGTTATATTATACAAATAGAAGCATATTCTACATACTTTACTAAAATGTCCTTAAACAAATATTAATGAAATATTTTGGAGTTCATTCTTTATGAGCTCATTTTAAATGATTAATAATAATCAAATTTAAGTTTTAAAAAATCTCCTATTTATTTGTGTTTAGGTTTTCTGGTTTTTAGCTACCACAGACAGTGCAGAATTGATTATCTTTGTACATACATGTGGGTATATCTGTAGCATTAATTCCCAAGAGTAGAATTCCTGGATCAACATTTGTTTGTACTTTTAATTTTGAAGATATATCTCAAATGTTCTGTAAGGAACTTATATCAATATGCATGCATTTCTACTAATAGCCTATGAAAATACCTTTTCCCCTAATTTCTTTCCCCAAACCGTTGCTTTATGTGTTATTAAACTTTTTAATCTTTGCCAATCAGGAGGAAAATGATGTCTTCCTATTTTAATTTTTGTTTCTTTGTTAATGAAATGTATATGTGTTCTTAAACATCTTCGTACATTACAATAACAAATACCTATTAAATAAAGACCATAATGCAGTCAGTTGTCTTATATAAGGGAAGGAAATATAGGAAGTGATTGAGGTTTTAGGATGTATAGAAAAAAAAATTATGCCATTGTTTTGTTATATGAATTCTATTGAAGTATAAGGTCCTTAAGAGTAAAGATTAAATCTCAGTTTTTAAAAAAATCTTCTTACATTGCTTACTATTATTCTCAGCTTATGTTGGCTACTTTCTAAATGTTGTTGACTTGTGATTCAGTGATCAAGTCAAGTAGCAGGTAAGTGGCAATGTACCAAGGAGAGGTAATGTACTGGTGTACAGCTAAATGGCTGCTATTAAAAGTTTATGAAAAACTTAAGACCTTAGCATTTTTTACCTAGGCTGATTTGTCCTAATGTCCAGAAAACAAGCAGAAACCTACATTTGACTTGTAGCATCTGAATTAACATTCATCATGGTTTGCTAGGGGATTTAAAGTGACGATGTGCCTGACGGAATAGAATTAATTTAAATATAATAATGACTCTTTGGGATTCATTTGAATAAAGGGAATTTGTGGTTTATGGTCCTCTCCAATTTAGGGGAGTTTAGCTAATGATGAAGAAAGGAGCGCTGTGGTTAGTGGAAAGAGTAATGGACTGGATGTCAGTACTCCTGTGTTCTTAGTATGGCTTTGGTTTGAAATACTCATGTGCCTGCCAAGTGCCAAGGAGAATGCTAAGAAATTATGGACATTATCTTACTTATTCCACAGAACAGTCTTGTCTGAAGTATTTTATCATCATCCTAATTTTTCAAATGCAGTACCTGTGGTTTAGAGGGAAAAAGCAACTTGTCCATGGTAACACATCTAGTAAGTGATAGACTGAGAAAAAACAAAGGCAGATTTGTTTAACAGCAAAGCTGTGCTCTTAAATATCATGCTTCG